TCTCTACTAAAAATACAAAAAATAAAAATAAAAAAATAAAAAATAAATTAAAAAAAAAATTAGCTGGGTGTGGTAGTGGGTGTCTGTTATCCCAGCTACTTGGGAGACTAAGGCAGGAGAATCATTTGAACCCGAGAGGCGGAGATTGCAGTGAGCCAAGATCGCGCCATTGCACTCCAGCCTGGGTGACAGAGAGAGACTCTGTCTCAAAAAAACAAAACAAAACAAAAAGCCAATTATTTTATAATATCTCAAATTACTGTAGACTAGAAGAACCAAAAACCATTTTTTTAACCTGTGACATAGTCTTCCGGTGGAATCAAGCACAAATCTCAGTTATTGGAAGATAAATATGAGAGGAGAAATAGAAGAGCTCCTGAATTAAGAATATAAAGGTATATTTTGTTATACACTTCATCTCACATTCCAGATAGAAGAATTTCTGGGCTCATTAATGGAAACTTTGTTTATAATATAACATTAAATTACAACTGTTGGCACAGTGAAATTCCATCCTTGATATTCAAATTCTTCTAGAAATTATCACATTTGATTTTTTGAAGAAGACTAACATTTTAAGAGGGAAAAAACTATCATTATTAGGTTGGTATAAAATTAACTGCAGTTTTTACCATTACTTTCAATAGCAAAAACCACAATTACTTTTGCACCAATGTTATACTTCTAAAAATTTAGACTTCTTTATTTAAATATAAACACAAACTAATTTTCTTTGTCTGTCAATATACTGAATGTGAGCTCTCCTTAGTATCAATGTTGTTAATTATAGCATTGTTGTTCTAGAACTGTGGTTGCTTGAAATAATCAGGTATTTTGACTCATCAGGTGATTATTATCTGCTATTATTATGAGATACAATCTAAAATATTACTGGATTTAAAATCAGTAAGCATTTATTAGGTACCTTCTTTTCTCTGCAATGTACTACAACCTGAAGGAACGAGAGGGAACAAAATTGTGACGAGAAAGGAGACAAGGAATAAGAATGTTTCACACAATTTCATGGAGAGAGAAGATTTGAAACTACAATCGAATTTTATAGAGGAAACCCCAAAGCCATAAATTAAATGTTTGTTTCACAATTAAGGAAATATGTCCATTGAGGTTAAACGAGGTGACCACAATTGTCCAGCCAATAAGTAGTCACAGAAGTTTCCAAGAGAGAAGTGGGATTTGTGAGTGGGACTGAAGAATGATTGTTTTGGGATATGTTGAGAGCTAAGTAGTATCACTTATTAAATGTCAAGCTTTATATTCTTTTACCTTTACTGTCTCTTTTACAGCATCACAACATTTTATGTTAAATATTGTTAACTGGGCTCCAAGGAAGGGAAGCAGTTTTCTCAAGTACTTATAAACATATCACAGATTCAAAGCTGCATCTACTGACTATAAATATAGCCTTCTATAGCACACTGATTTGGTCAGTAGAAACATTACAAATTTTGAGTTTCTTTGATGTAAGAAATGGAACTACCATGTTGGAACAAGAGTATATAAGACACCTCACTTAGCCAAAACAGAGCTTTCATGCTCTGTTTTGTATGTGAGAGAGTAGTGAGATCTACAGAGGCTACAAAATTTATTAAAAAGTTATAAATGTTCTATGTACACATAAAGTCCAGAGTGAATGTTTCATACAACAGAAGAAAGTATAATCATAAAACAAAAGGGAAGGAAAGAAAGAAGAAAGGAGGGAAGGAAGGAAAGAAGTAAGAAAGGAAGAATGAAAGGAAATTAATAATATTAAAAATAAAGCCTCTCTGATGAAAAATAACTTGTATATGTCTATATATGAATGTAACATACATTAAGATCCAAATCAACCAGAGAAGCAAAAGAATGTCGCATATTATAGCAGTAATTATCTTTATGTGTATGGATTATAGGTAATATTTTTCTTACTCAGATTTTTTTTCCTTCAAATTTTCTATAAGGAGCTTACATTGATTCGGTAACACACAAAAAAATCAATTTACATAGAAAGAAATACATGTATGCAAACTAAATTATTGGTTGAATTTAAAATTTTGCTAAATTTTAAACTATAACATGTATATTTGGGATAAAAATTAGAACATGTTATACTGAAACAGTGTGACTATTCCATTATTTTATAATGTATTATTTTCAATTTATTATTTTTCCTAATGAGGATGAAACACAAGTTAATATTCTATCTCTTTTTGATAGACTCCATAAGAATTTGCAGTTTTCAAATATCAAATTGTATATAGGTGTATACATTCAGGTATAGATTTCAAAATTGTAGTCTGGGCTCTAGCTTTTAATGCTGATAATTATTATCTAACCAAATATGCTAACAGAATTTAAAAGAATATCTATTTTTGTTCTTTTCACATGTGGAATTTGTTACTGGTTTAATACTGAATTACTATAATTTAGATTGGCCTATATAATTTCAAACACAACATTAGGTTGATAATGAACACAAAATACAGTCTTATTGACTGTATTTGATCAGTTCTGTGTTTTTAAATTTTTAGAAAGTTATTACTTATTGCCTGACTTAAGGTATTTTTCAACTTTTCTGTTACATATTGATGTCATTTATTAAGGTGCATTTTTCTGTGATACTTTTTAGAAATCAATATGGTAAGTGGCATTTATTTTATGTTTTTTCTTCAAAAATGTCCTGAAATATTAATGGTATATTTTTCTTTGAAATTATTCAAAGTGTTGCAAATGAAATATCGCAAAGTTTATTTTTCTGTTAGCTGAATTAAAGCTAAATTAATTCGGTATTTTAACTGCATAGATTAATTTATCTAGAACAAGACCACAGAAAGGTTTTAAAGCCACTCTACCCATTATTTTCAAATTATTTTCAAATAAGATGCTTCGCAATCACAGTTTCATTTTCAAGACACTTCAGTGATATTCTATTTGTGGTATCTCATAAGATGTGCTGAATCAAAAAAGGTTGAGTGATTGCTCATCTCTGACACCATTTTAAAGAAAATAATTTTGCCTTCAGCATTTCTAACATTGTAGTTACTTATTTGTATTGCATGTAGAAATTGCTTTGGTATTTGTCAATGAGCAACCATAGTTACATGAACCTTGAGGAAATCTCTCCAGAATTAGGAAATGGAAAGCATTCATTGATAGTAAGAAGTTTGGAGTTTCATACAAGTAATATAGCAGCATTTTTCTCACTTTAGAAATAATTCACCATGAACCTCATACTATCAAATTATTCCTAATCATTGACTTTGCCTAATGGAAATACTCTTTTCTTTTTGACTGAATTTGAATTTGCTTGGCTTACTTTAAAATTTATAAATAGATAGATTTTTTTTTTTAACTAACCAACTGCATCATCTAACCTCTGTAACCATACACGTTCACAATGCTTTCACATAAGATCACATTCGCAATACTTTCCAATAATCATTATTTCATGTTAAAATACACTTGTTTTCTCAGAGCCCAGTGAGCTTCAGGCCATATCATAGTTTCTTCAAAGTCTTCAAAGAACTTTGACTATGCTCCTTGCATAGAATCACTCTCTATGGTTTCTTCATTATGTTAATAGTGTATAAGTTATGGTTTTGCTCATTAAGTTACTCTGAGTTATAAGAAAATTCCTAGATGTTCTTCTCTGAAAATTTCTTATAAAATCTTCTTTACTGATTATAGACGTTCTCAAAACAATTGTGATAATAAATGGTTCATAACACATTTCATACAGCTCAAAATATTTAGCCCACGGCCTTCAGTAAATGACAAAAATAGAATATGTGTAAGGCCATTCCTGATTCAGAGAAGTGAGAAAATGAAAGACAAAATACAAAATTATTATGGTGAGGTATATTTTCCCTGTTTTGGATGTTTCCCGTGAAGTTTGAAAGTATAAATTTATTTAAGGAAATGAAGTAACATATCACTTTAAGTTTTTTTCAGACTCAGTAATCTAGATATATTTTATCTCACCTGGAAAGTTTTATAAAAGTTTTAGAGAAAAAGAAAATAATATGTGAAATCTAAAGCAAGTTTATTAAATACAGCAACAAATGGGATCTAATGTATTTCCCTTACATCTGGATGGCAGAGTACATATCTCTCCAAATAGAAGACAATAGCAAAAACAAAATAATTTTTAAACTTATTAAGTTTTTGTGTCTATAATTGGACAACTTTGAAAGTAAGAGAAAAATCCACACTCAGCTGTTTTCAAAAAACATCATTGTCCTTAAGGAAATGAATATGCCAAGAAATATTGGAAATCTCCTTTCTTCCAGAGATGTGAGTTTGCGTGCTTTTCACACGAATGTTTGACAGCAATTATGGATTTAAACATTTTGAAGTACTTTATTGCCTGTAAAGTACTTATCAGCATTGATTAACAAAATGTTGAATTGTGTATGTGGAAAACTATCAATTATTCTACAACTTTTTTATTTATGAGTGGAACTAAAGCTTCTAATTTGCTGTAGTAAATTGTGACTTGGAAAATTAGAGCTGAGTAAATCAGTTGATATAACATAGATAAAGCATTTATTTCTTTGGAATTTTAATTGCAATATCATACATTTTGAAAATCTATAGGCATAGTTTCAAACTATTTTTTTCTAGGAAGATTATTTAATCTCTACCCAGTTAGCATGACTTCTGCAGTCATATTTAGTCCCTTTTGAGAAGATTTTACTCTGCATATTATATAAATGTTTGCTATTGATTCATTTCAAAGGTGAGGTTCTACAGTAATATTCACCTACATTCCAGGTCCCCTGGGTATTTATATGACCTCAAGAATAAGAAAGAAAATAAAGATTAAAGAAAAAATAAAATAAGAGCATCAAATTTTCTAAATGCTTAGAAATATTTCTTCAGTAATTCTTTAAAATATTATTCATAAAGATACTTTTTAAGTTTTCTGCATTGTATGCTTGCTATAGGATATGCTCTGTTTCTCTAAATTCTTCTTTTCTTGATTTTGTTTTGTGTTTTTCCAGTTACTGGCTGACCAACAAAGTTCCTATCAAAAGACCCAGCACAGGTCTCCTCATGTATACACTTGCCACAAGATTCTGTGATGAAATTCACCTGTATGGATTCTGGCCATTCCCTAAGGATTTAAATGGAAAAGCGGTCAAATATCATTATTATGATGACTTAAAATATAGGTACTTTTCCAATGCAAGCCCTCACAGAATGCCATTGGAATTCAAAACATTAAATGTGCTACATAATAGAGGAGCTCTAAAACTGACAACAGGAAAGTGTGTAAAGCAATAAAGCACATTTTGAAACAAACAATATGCACTTCTTTTCTGAAGATGCTTCCGGAGATTTGAAAATAGGATCCAAAACACGGCTGGGTTTCAGCATCCACCAATTAACTGAAAGGTGAATAAAGGACGTTCATGAGAAATCGACTACCAGCTGATGAAATACCTGCAAAGTGCTCTAAAAATTAAATATTTTGACTTCAAGGGTCCTAGTAAGTGCCACTTCCACTAAGAATACAGTTTGAATGTATAATCAGTAGTGTTTACAAGATCCAACAGTGCACTCATCATTAGTTAACAAAGCAAATATGTTTATCACTGTCAGGCTGCCCACAGCAATGCCAAGCACATTAGAAGAGGAACCCCAGGAACATAACTCAGACCTTGGGAAATTAAACCATCTTTGTCAGCAGAAACCAAGATGGAAGCAGTTTGAGCAATGAAATCCATAAGATTAAACAACTCAAGTAAATGCCTTCAGTCAGGACACTGAGTCTGATCATGAATTTTATGTTTTAATTTATGTTTTTGTTTGTCTTCTGGAATCTCTTCTGTTTTGGGTATTAGGGTGCTTAGAAATCCTTTCTGAGACACATATGAATGAGGAAAGAAACTTTAAGTAATTATTTTTAAAGTTCTTATACTTTTTAAAAGCTATCACACAAACTTTTTTTGTTTGTTTTTGTTTTTGTTTTTGTTTTGTTTTGTTTTGTTTTTTTTGAGATGGAGTCTTCCTCTGTCGCCCAGGCTGGAGTGCAGTGGTGTGATCTCAGCACACTGCAAGCTCCGCCTCCCAAGTTCACGCCTTTCTCCGGCCTCGGCTTCCTGAGTAGCTGGGACTACAGGCGCCTGCCACCACGCCCGGCTAATTTTTTGTATTTTTAGTAGAGACGAGGTTTCACTATGTTAGCCAGGATTGTCTCTAGATCTCCTGACCTCGTGATCTGCCCACCTCGGCTTTCCAAAGTGCTGGGATTACAGGCGTGAGTCACTGCACCTGGCCGACTTTCTAAAAAGTTTTATTTTGCACAACTCTAAACCTGCATATTATTTTCCAATGCTGTAGAAGGTACCAGCTAAAGTGAACCACTATGTAATATTAGGCCATTCTAAAGGAAAGATGTTCCATGTCATCAGAGATGGTAAAATAGGCAGAATAAAAAAAAAAAAGAAAAAAAAAGAAAAAAAGATCTTTGGTACCAAAGATTACGCTTGCATTTCTACACAGCAAACCATTTTTCTTTCATGAAAATAATATATTATTAACATGAATATATTATTTTGCTATTAATGTGAAAGTTGTCTCTAAATATTTTTAAATTTCCAAACTCATGCTTTATTTTCATTTGAAATGTTTTTCACACCTTTTGCATTACATAATAATTTTGTGGAAGCATTTTGCCCTTTAGAATAAATATTAGATTGATATAGCTGAAATGTGACGTCCAGTTCTTTGATATTCCCCTTGTTATTCAAATAGAAATATGGAAATGCTTCATATACTACTGTTAAATTTCTTAGTGCAGAAATAACATTATTAATAGAGTATTGTTTTCAAAACAGAGATGATTAATTTCCAGAAGTTTAACAATGAAATTGTGTGTCAATATTTTGCATTTAAAATGAATTTAATTGACCAATATTTTCTGTAGTTAAATTTAGTCACAATATCACATGTGTTCTTCAAGAAACACGTGAAATTATTAATAAAGTAATTTAAAATTTTTTAATGTATAACACAATTGACCGGTAGGCCAGTTTTCTGGTAACTTATGATAGTGGAGTGTTTCTTTAGAAAGCAGAAGCACTGCATTCTCACTTCTACTTTGATTTCTTATTTCTTGGGGAGGCAATTTGAGGAAAGAAGAAATGCACGGGGAATATATATGTTTTGTTTCTTAGGGAAAACAGTCTGAGAAATGAATAAAAAGCATGAAGTGTGTGTGTGTGTGTGACCATGGAAAAGGATATTCACAGTAGTACAGTTCTCAATATTTTTAATGAGATGCCATCTTTTAAAAATATAGTAAAACCTTGGGATATAGAATGTTACATCTTTTGAGAATGTATGTGTCTCTAAGTAAGTGAAATCTAATGCGTATAGGAGACTGATAGCTAAAAATGAATGGAACATTAATGTACTTTTATAATTAAACCTCTTATCTATTGGAAATTGTAAGAGAATAGATACATGTTTTGAATGTAAAGTTGAAAAGTCTGGTTTACTTAACAAATTGAAAGTGATTTATAAAATCTAAATTTGGACTACTTGCAAATGATAAGCTGTTCAAGTAGCCTTTAATTTAAATCCAACAGAAATCTAGAAGTCACAAGCAAATATCTTATAGGTAAAATCCATCTGGGCACTTAAAGTATGTCTTAAAAAAGCAGCAGCAAGGTACTTTGCCATTTTTAGTATATTTTCTTCCTTTTTTCTTTCTTTCTTTCTTTTTTTTTTGGAAATGGAGTCTCACTCTGTCACACAGGCTGGAGTGCAGTGATGCCATCTCAGCTCACTGCAGCGTCCACCTCCCAGGTTCAAGTGATTCTCGTGCCTCAGCCTCCCGAGTAGCTGGGATTACAGGCGCCCATAACCACACTTGGCTAATTTTGTATAGTAGAGACGAAGTTTCACCATGTTGTCCAGGCTGGTCTTGAACTCCTGACTGCAAGTGATCCACCCACCTCAGCCTCCCAAAGTGCTGGGATTACAGGTGTGAGCCACCGCAGCCGGACCATTTTAAGTATATTTTCAATAAATACATTTAAACAATATTAAGGCCACAGCACACATATCTCAGCCATTAATTGTTCTGTGCATTGATGTTTATCTCACAGATGTATTGAGTAGTGCCTTTTTAGCTTTTTCACATTGCTTTGTTACTACTGTATCCTGTATCCTTTGTGTTCCCTAAATACATTGCCCACTTCCAAAAATGTTCAGCATGAAAAAAGGGCTTCAGTATCAACTGAGACTACTTTTGTTCATCTCAGGGAACTTTCAATAGTCAAGAATGAATTCAGTTAAAGGTATTTAGGGTTCAAAGAAGACAAACTGTACAAGCCCATTTCATTCCTTGTTATATACCTTTCCATCTGCCCTCCCACTTTCACTGTCTACTGTGGCCTTTTTATAGGAACAGAGCAAGATCAATGAAGGCTAATGGCAAGAATAAGAAAAAGAGTTGAGATTTAACCAATAGCAGAGCATAAAGGATCATAACAAAATCAAATTATAAAAGCATACTTGAAATAAGTGGAATTTTTTTATTTTGAAAATATCATATATTCACAATTTTAATATTTTAATTTATTTTTTACTATTTAACCCTGTACCTGGCAATGCTCAGGCAGCTGATTGTGAAATACTCCTGTCCTTTACAGACCATGGTTGTTATTGAGTTGTTGACATGAATAGACCATGGAAACATTTTCATCATTATTACTCAGCCTGTGCTGTAATTAATGTTAAGTTGCTGAAATAAAAAGTGAGCAAGTAATAGATTTTCTGGGCAAATCTAATGATTCAGCCCACAGGACTGATGAAACTACTGCGGAAGATTTTCTATCTGAAAGAAGGTGCTGGGCATTCAAATGTCTTCATGTATTGTATATCATATGAATTGTATATCAATGACTAATGGGAATTTCTACATATATGCTTACAAAAGCAATTTATTTAAGTAATGCTAGGGGTAGTGTACATACCAATTAGTTATTCAGCTACTATACAGAAAAAGGATGAACAAACTAATTTATTTCTAATTGAGTCAGTTAGACATAATGCATATAATGTGATACTTGGTTCATAAAAGAGTTGTTTTCATGTGGTTTTTGTAGGGAGTATATGTAATTGTGGAACAGGTATGGGAAGAGTTGTGTATAGTTAGTTGTTATCTCTACAAGTTTGAAAGTTTTCTTATCAAACATTATCAATATCCCAACGTTTTAAAAATTGAGTGAGGGTTATTATTTGTATTTGATGAAAGAAAATCCAAATAAAACCCCCCTAGAAATAGATATTTTATTATATATGTGCTATAGATATACCTATATAGTACAAATAGACATGTGTGATGCATATATACAATGTTATATATGTGTATATGTGTTTATACACACTGAGTCTGTAATATGTACACACTAGATTTGTTTTATGCTAACATCTTCAGGGTCTGCACTGTGAACTACCCTGGAGATAAGTAAGGCCACTTTAGAATAAAGAAGTTCTTTTGAGACTTCAGTTACTAACCTGCTTTAAGAGGTATCTACTTTATAACTGAATTCTATGTCGTTCATATGTAGAGTTACAGTAAGGGTCTAGTATGTCCACACCTTAAAAATAATAATAAAGAAGAAAAGTAAAGCCTTCAAGCTAGCGATGTATTCGAATTACAGTTTTCAGACTGTGGCTCTAGGCCTTGTGTTTTTCATTTAAGTAGCGCCTTTTAATAAAAACCGTTTCTTTGTGTAGGCAAAAGCACAAGTGTTTCAAATGTAAATAGCAGGAAAAAAAAGAGTTTACAGAGATAGCATTGCTGCACACAATAATTGCTACTGAGTATTTCTTATAGAACTTGTGGAATTGAAAGATGAGGTTTATTCTGTCAAGTTCATTCTGTTCAACACTGTTTTCTTATTGTTTGTGTATAGCAACCGGGTGTTATTGTTTTATCATTTGTAAAATTGTAAAATAAATTAAATCCCTTTTTTTCACTGCTTTTCTTATCTCATATATCCAAGCCCTTGGTTATACTTTGTACGTTAATGTTAAGTGATCATTTTTAACAAGTTTTGGTTAGTGCTTTGATTTTCCACTCCCCTTAGCCCTAGTGGTTGGCAATTAGGCAAACCATTTATTTTTAAGTGTATACATGGGAATATGAGCAATGCCAAAAACTCCATGACTATTAGGAAATCCTTAACAATATTTTGTGTAGTACATTCTGTTTGTGGTTGAGGGAATAAAGTATTTCACAAGTGACAGTCATTTATATCCAATTCACACTCCCACTGACTAATGTTAGTGAGTTATTTTAGCTACAATGGGTTCGTACACACTGCACATTCTATGACAGATTTTTGATTTAGTATTTCGACTGCTATTTGAGCCACTTAATATTGTTTGCAATTTGCCTTCCAGGAGATGATTCCGAAAAACTACATGCTTAAATCTTCTTCCATGGCTTTCTATAACTTGCAAGTCTGTTTTCAGACTCTGTATTGATTTCCGCAGAAACATTTAACAGAAATGTTAAGAAGCCACTGTAGCATTCTGCAATTTTGAAACATTTACTGGAGACCAGTAATGAAGCACTGACAATAATTAATACATATAGATGTTATTTATATTTGCGTTATTACCTTGTTTTTCAAAGATTCATATACAATGGGTTATTCTTAGCTACTTTGGGGGGTATAATCAGACCTCATCATGTGGAACTCCATTTTTGATGTTATGGAAGAGCTTTCAGGATTGTAGTATGAGTTTTGATGCCTGAAGCAATTTTCTAAAAGGCAGTATTTACAAATAATTTATTCCTAGTCTCAAATATTATTTTTAAATGCTTATGATTTAAAAATAGGTTTGGGTATGGTTTTGCCTGAAATGGTGGATGATTTTTTACACTTATTATTTTATATTACAGCCCAGGCCTTTTCAAAATGTATTCTGAGAAACATTGCTGTTCAACAT